CCCTAAAGCGACGTGTGGCTGCTGCTGCTGAACTGGAAGCCTGACCGATGTGTAAGCCTTGGGTGTTGTAACCCATTCCTTAGCACTGTGCCGATGTTACGTATGGCCGAGATTGTAACTTCTTTTTTTTTGAGCTTTCCAATATGCATTTATCACTGAATTGAAAGAGCCAATTTGAAAGTAAGAAAAGTTTTGGCACAGAATATACTTTCAACAAAAATTGAGACGAGCGACAGAAAGTTGTTGCGACCAAGAGCTCCCTCTCGTGTATTACAGACAAAGCAGAAGGTTGGTGTCTGCGCAGGTCTCAGCGTGGGGCCGTGCGCCGTGGGCAGCACCAGTGAAGCAATGGCACCCTGGGCAGCGGGGGTCCCCGAGCGGAGCCCACGGACTGAGGGGTCCCCGGCAGCGGCTTCCCAAGCTCACGGCTTAACTCTGTTCCAGGTATGTCGTGAGCTTCGTCATGGCAGCGTGGAAGTACATTTCTGTAACGTAAAAACTTTTTGCAACATTTGCAATCACGTTTATTTCACTAATTCGTCTTTAAAAAAAAGAAAGAAAAAACCCCACAGAACTGACATTTTGAAACAAATTCTTATCCATTTCAACATCTTACTTACAAATATATTTTTTTAAAAAAGCTGAAAATCTGAGTGCTGTGTTTTCATGAATACAGGTTCACAAATTCTTTGTGTCAATAAGACTTGAGACTCTGCAAGAGTGCATGTGGGATATTTCAGAAGGTAACAAAGGCCACAACCTTCCCAGTAATCCCCCTTCTTCTGATTCCATGGTGGCTCAACCGCTTGTACTGCATCAGCTCTCAACCTCTTCCTCAGTTAAGCTGTACATGTGGAAACACAGTAAATACTTAGTTTTCAGAGCAGCTAAATTTGTTTTTCATCCAAAACATTTATTTAAATGCGTTATTTTCTTGGGATATCCTGTCTGGATGTGTTTTGGCTTTTATGTAATCAACTATCACGAGCACAGACAGTAGCGCACTGACTTTTTAAACACAAACAAGCTGATTTCTTGTTCACTGCAGTTTTGAAAACATGAGAGCAGATGCTAGAAAACGCACTGACCCTTAAAAGAAAGGATAAGTTCAAGCAGTTTTAAGGTCTGCTGGTTCTTTCCTCCACAGCATGACTTTGCACAAATCACCCTGAAACTGTGTGCTGGAACTGTGTTGGTAGTTAGTACACTTGACTGCCCTTCAAGTGTTTTGCAGGTGCCAAAGTTGTCCAGGGCTGGTTCTTCAAGTATGAAGGTCAGTGAAAATGAAGATTAATTTGTATTATAACCTGACCAGCTTATTTTAGTCATTTTAATCTTTTGAAAACTGAGCACTGTGCTGGCAAGTAAACAGGAATTAATATCTGGATATGACTATTTATAGTGAGAATATAGTGTCTACTGTTTATGTAAAATCTGTCAAAACAAGCGCAAAGCAGAGATTTTCAAAGCTGAGATACTTAAAGTGGTGAAGCTTTACCGTGCTAGCTGAGCTTGAGCAGCAAGGTGAAACATAGCGTCGAACATACTTTAAGTGAGAATTAAATGAAGACAGTGAAGCGGATTTTTTTAACCGTTACACACAACGAGATTTCTAGAAAGGTACGATGGCCACACAGACTAAGGAATTTTATGAAAACACCTTTCAATACCTCCCATGGGGAGGATTGCATATTGAAGGACTGTAAAGGTGAAGAACAGCTTTTTCTGTTTTACTACTCAAATAACAGGAGATGTTATTTCAGTCATAATACCGCATTTTATTTGCCTGAAATTACATCCATGTTTACAGCCTCTAACACAGGCAATAGGTCTCTTAACTACCTCAGGAGAAAAGATTTGAAACTTGCCTCGGCTGCTAAGCAGAGAAGACGGAATACAGACACCTGCGTTTCTTCTGCTTTGCAGGTTTCTTCAGTCTTTCTGCAGCTGCTTCCATGTGTGTGTTTTTGAAGAAATGAACTGCTGGTACCACGATGGTTCATTAGCATTCTTCAGGAGAGCATGTTTTAATTAACGCCTGTGCAAGAAATGCTTGCCGTTTGACAATTTTAATTTCTCACAGCCAGAAAGTGACACCAGACATTTACAAACTTGAAGTCAAACTAATCTAACAGTAAAATGAATCCTTGTTATTTCTAGTCTTTGACTGAGAACTGTGGTCTAATTTTACACACAGGGTAAAAAAAGCACATTAATAAAATTATCTAGCTATGCATGTATGTTTGGGGAAGGTTGCAATTCAGAATTCTGCTTGCAAATATTCTGTCATGACAGAGAAAAAATGATAAAGATTTTTCTCAAGCAAGAACTATGCTGAAGAGCATCTGAAACTGAGTCTCACCCTAATTAAACAGATTGTCCAGTTGGAAAGAAAAACTCTTCATATGACTCCCTCCAAAATATATTTATTGAACTTATTTTGGGTTTAACATTCAAATATTATTTGCACAGTCAGATAATAAAGACAACATGTGAATTTTTTTATTTTACAAACAGAATGATTACACATGGAGACGGAACAAATTACAAATTAATATATAGTTCCATATATCATTTAGGGAATTGGATATCACAGTAAGTAGGGTGGTTAAGAAACAGACAAATGAAGCCAGTTTCAAGCTTCAAAAGAAGTGCTAATGTTCATAAGCAGTTCATGTTGGTAATAGTTCTTCATTGCTATCAATCACTATCACTACATAAACAAAACAACGAGTCCTTAACAAACCTATCCCAGATGAGCACCACACAGGGGAGCTGATGCTACGTAGTTAGTGCTGATGGCTATGCTCCTTGGTGGTCCTTAGTCACCAGGGCCAAGGTGATCAGGCTTGAGAGCTCCTTGCAGGCAGTTTGCCATCCTTCTTCTTTATTCAGTTGATGTTTTATACTCCCTGTCCCTGATCCAAAAGAAAAGGATCTGCTTTTGATGACTCATTTTGGGGATCGGGACATGTTCTGGGTTTTGCTTATTCTGCAGGTGCCGCCAAAGACCTTTCTTGCCTGCAGGATTATCTTGGTTTTACCAGGCATCTTTCCCCTTCTGCTTTGTTGTCTGGTTATTTGGTGACAGGTTTCCAATTGTAATTTCTTAGGTAAGCTTGATTTTGCGTATTTAGTGAGGCTTTAAGAAAACAGCTAGAAAGAGTGAAGTAGGAAACCATAAGCTGTACCGGATCACTTCAGTTGCCATGAAAAATCAGAGTCTTCCTGAAATGTGTTTCTTGCCACACGAAGGAGAAGGTGATTGGGAACACTCTGCACAGGCATACACGTCCTACAAGCCTGCAGTCACCGATTTAAGTAGAATTGCTGAAGCTGCTTCCTGTGGCACAGGATATATAATCTGCTTTTGAGCTATCTCAATTATCAGCCAACACTTAAATGCAATCTGAAATAAAACCAGTGTGTTTAAATGAAAACAGCAGAGATCTGAGGGTTAATTGCAGGTGGACAATGTCTGCCTCAGAGGTGGGGTGGATACGTGGTGAAGCATCTGCCATCGCACTTTAATCCATACCTGCAAATCTACCAGAGCCTTCAACACGTGAATTTTGGGTACCTCTGTCCTGTGAAATCCACAGCCCTCAGAGGCCCAGGCTTCTTATACGGTGCTGAGAACGAAATCCACAGGCTCCACAAGCTAACTCAGGGGTCACCTGGCTGAAGCTCGGGGACTACGGAGCCGCGTCCTGGCGCAGGGCCTCTTTCGGCATTAGGTACTTCATGCGCGCTAGTCCCTTTTTCAGAGGAGCAAAACGGGAGGTCAAGACTGCCCCATCACAAGCTCATTCTCCTGCCTGGGAGACTGGAGCCAAGTGTTCTTTTTCCTACTCTGACTGATTTACCACAAAACTTAAAATGAATAGAAGGGTGGCGGTTATCTTTGATTTCTTCTTTTGAATCTGTTTTACTTTGTAAAAATGACTATCGAGCACGCCACCGGGTATTTTCTCTCTCTGGAGCAGCGAGCAGGGCGCGAAGCCGAGCTCTTCGGGTTCCTTCCTGTGCCT